GTCGGTCATAACACTACTACTTCACGTTACAGCATCGAGGACACAAGTGTTCTCTATGTTATGTCTTGCACGAGGAAACAACGTTCAAGAGACTGTCCAGTAAGACCGGACTCTTCTCCAACTACACTGGCTAACCAACACTCGCTGTTGGCGAGACAGTGGGAAGTGACGCCAAAGTACCATGTTACTCAGGAATCGAACCCAGGTCTTCTGGCTTCTGATACGAGACTGTTGACCACGACACTACGAGTGACAATATAACACGCAGGGTACACTCACTATACCTTTCACTTACACTGTAAATTAGTACCCTGTACACAGAGAATTCACGTTGTGTTATATTGTAAGTTGTCCAACACCTTACCTTGCACAGCGTTGAAGTGTGTTCAGCTCTTTTCGAGACCGCCTTTATATAGCGGGTGGCAGGCCCTGCAGAAGGTCAAGGCCGTACCCACACACCCATCGGCCTTACTCGTTAGACAAATAAGTAAGACAAGCAGCCGAAATAGTAAACAAAAAAAGCAACAAGACAAAAAAGGAAATATTAATTCTTTTACTTAGAAAATATTTAAAAGAATATGTATTAAATTACATTACTATTATTAAATAGTAACAGTTATTTTTTAATAAATTCTTCTGTTTAAACTTTGCTGCTTCTCAAGAGAGAAAACGAGGGCAACAAAAAGTTGTATATTCAAGTGTCCACAACGTAGCCTCGTTTGGTACATTCTTCTTGGTGTATTTATAAAAAAAATATTTCGACTTATTTTCCAGTTTTCGCCGCATCAACAAATGCCTCACGCAGGCCGACGAAACCGATATTACTGACCGGAAGCTGTAGGAAGGCGTATACTGTGCAGCAGCGACACATTTGTGCTTAGAAGTCTCTATATGTTGAGAAACAAAGTAATATTTAACTAAAGTGTTAAATTTTGAAGAAGCACTCACTTTAGGTGTTGTCAGTGAAATGTGACCAGCAGTGTTGGAAAGAGTTGACGGACTCAAACAGTACGGTCAAGGCCGCGAAGGACAGCACACCGTGCCGGGGTATTTTCACCCTTGCTGCTCACACACACACACACACAGATACTCGTGTGAATGGTCCTGCAGGAAATGGTCGATTTTAACATTAAACAATCTGGTTCGTAGAAAGGAGCACCATGGTATCTTATCTTTAAAGACAACCAAATAGTAATTCGAACCCCGAGTTTAACTTACAATAGAATAATGTAAAACCAATAAAAATGGGCATACGATGAAAATTAGACAATTTTATACTGAAATTGCAAAAAAATGGGCAAATATGACATTGATCAACACCCGCGTTCATTACCTCACCAACTCTTGAAATATAATTTAAAAGATAAATTCATCTGAAAATCACCAAACACAAGTGGGGACATGTTGACTGAGTCCTAGGAAGTAACCCTTTTCCTTACTGTACTGGCACCCTGGTGAATACCACTGTACCCTGGTGGTCACTACTGTACCCTGGTGGTCACTACTGTACCCTGGTGGTCACTACTGTACCTGGTGGTCACTACTTACCCTGGTGGTCACTACTGACCTGGTGGACACTACTGTACCATGGTGGTCACTACTGTACCCCTGGTGGTCACTACTGTACCCTGGTGGTCACTACTGTACCCGGTGGTCACTACTGATCCCTGGTGGTCACCACTGTACCTGGTGGTCACTACTGTACCCTGGTGGTCACTACTGTACCCCTGGTGGTCACTACGTACCCTGGTGGTCAACACTGACCCTGGTGGTCACTACTGCACCCTGGTGGTCACCACTGACCCTGGTGGTCACTACTGCACCCCCTGGTGGTCACTACTGTACCCTGGTGGTCACTACATGCACCCCTGGTGGTCACTACTGACCCTGCGGTCACTACCGTACCCTGGTGGTCACTACTGCACCCCTGGTGGTCACTACTGCACCCTGGTGGTCATCACTGTACCCCTGGTGGTCACTACTGTACCCTGGTGGTCACTACTGCACCTGGTGGTCACTACTGTACCCTGGTGGTCACCACTGCACCCTGGTGGTCAACACTGTACCCTGGTGGTCACTACTGTACCCTGGTGATACTACTGTACCATGGTGGTCACTACTGTACCCTGGTGGTCACTACTGTACCCTGGTGTCACCATGCCTGTGGTCACTACTGCACTCTGGTGGTCACTATCAAACCCTGTGGTCACCACTGCACCCTGGTGGTCACTACTGTACCCTGGTGGTCACTACTGCACCCTGGTGGTCACTACTGTACCTGTGGTCACTACTGTACCCTGGTGGTCACATCAACCCTGGTGGTCACTACTGCACCCTGGTGGCCACTACTCTGGTGGTCACTACTGTACCTGGTGGTCACTACGCACCTGGTGTCACTACTGTACCCTGGTCACTATCCTGGTGGTCACTACGCACCCTGGTATTACCACTGCTACACTACACCCTGGTGGTCACAGACCCTGGTACCACTGCACCCGTACCACTGCACCGGTGGTCACTACCTGTACCCCTGGCTCACTGTACTCTGGTGGTCACTACTGCACCCTGGTGGTCACTACTGCACCCTGGTGGTCACTACTGTACCCTGGTGGTCACTACTGCACTCTGGTGGTCACTACTGCACCCTGGTGACTACTGCACCCTGGTGGTCACTACTGCACCTGTGTCACTACTGCAACCCTGGTGGTCACTACTGCACCCCGGACACTAACCCCTGGTGGACACTACTGTACCCATGGTGGTCACTACTGCACCCTGGTGGTCACTACTGTACCCTGGTGGTCACTACTGCACCCTGGTGGTCACTACATTGCACCCTGGTGGTCACTACTGTCCCTGGTGGTCACTACTGTACCCCTGTGGCTCACTGCACCCTGGTGGTCACTACTGCACCCTGGTGGATCACTACTGTACCATGTGGACACTACTGTACCATGGTGGTCACCACTGTACCATGGTGGTCACTCACTGTACCCTGGTGGTCACTACTGTACCCTGGTGGTCACTACTGTACCCTGGTGGACACTACTGTACCCTGGTGACACTACTGCACTCCTGGTGGACACTACTGTACCCCTGGTGACACCATTGTACCCTGGTGAGACACTACTGTACCTGGGTGACACCACTGTACTCTGGTGACACTACTGTACCTGGTGGACACTACTGTACCCTGGTGACACCACTGCACCCCTGAGGTCACTACTGTACCCCTGGTGGTCACTACTGTACCCCTGGTAGTCACAACTGCACCCTAGGTCACCACTGCACCTGGAGGTCACTACTGAACCCCTGGTGGACACTCACTGTACCCCTGGTATTACTACTGTACCCTGGTGGTCACTACTGTCCCCAGGACACTCAATACCCTGGTGGTCACTATCTGTCCCTGGAGGTCACTACTGTACCCTGGTGGTCACTACTGTACCTCTGGGGTCACCACTGTACCCTGGTGGTCACACTGTACCCTGGATGACACTACTGCACCCTGGTAAGGTACTGACTCTGGTGGATACTATCACCCTGGAGGTCACTACTGTACCCTGGTGGACACTACTGCACCCCTGGTGGTCACCATCAAATCCCTGGTGGTCACTACTGTACCCTGGTGACAGTACTTTACCCTGGTGGATACTACTGTACCCTGGAGGTCACTACTGTACCCTGGTGGACACTACTGCACCTGGTGGTTCACTGACACTGCACCCTGGTGTCACTTGACCCTGTGGTCATACTGACCTTGTGTTACACTGCACCCTGGTGGTCACCACTGCCCTGGTGACACACTGTACCCTGGTGGTTACTACTGTACCCATGGTGGTCACACTGCATCTGGACACTACTCACCCGTGGTCACTACTTACGCACCCTGGTGGTCACCACTGTACCCTGGTGGTTACTACTGAACCCTGGTGTATTACTGTACCCTGCAACTACCCTGGTGGTCACTAGTACCCTGGTGGTCACTACTGTACCCTGGTGACAGAGCCACCCTGGATACTATCGTACCCCTGGACACTACTGTACACTGTACCCTGGTGGACACCATTGTACCCTGGTGGTCACACATTGAACTCTGTGACAGTACTGTACCCTGGTGGATACATTGTACCCGCAGGATACTACTGTACCCTGGTGGACACTACGTACCCCGGTCACTACTGTACCCTGGTGGTCACTACTGTACCCTGGTGGTCACTACTGTACTCTGGTGGTCACTACTGTACCTTGGGGTCACTACTACCTGGTGGTCACTACTGTACCCTGGTGGTCACTACTGTACACTGGTGGTCACAACTGTACTCTGGTGGTTACTATTGTACCCTGGTGGTCACTACTGTACCCTGGTGGTCACTACTGCACCTGGTGGTCAGTACTGTACTCTGGTGATAATAAGTTTAAGAGTTTTTAAGTATGATGTATTTCTCACACTCAACTGCTGTACGTATTGTCACGTCCCTCCGCCTGGGTCAACGTCATCTGGTGATAGGCAATTAACAACACTTCCTTGCCGTATGACGACGTTGGAGCAATAGTCGCCAGCCCAATAATATCACTGACACGTCTCCCTAGCCTCTACGTCTACCACAACACTAGCATCTCCCGTGAGCCACCAAGGTGACGAGGGACCTGATCTCACCCTGAAAAGCAGTTCACTCTAATCTTCTGTCCTGGAATAGTGACTCGCCATAAGGACCTCTACCTTCCCGGGTTCCTGCGCTTCAAGTGACCTCCTTAAGCATCCCACGTACCATAACATTCATCTCAGAGAGATTAGATGGCTCCAGTTTTTCTCTGGCCCCTCTTAGTTTGTCCCCCATGTTTTAGTTTGTATCTAGTTAGGATATTTATATGTTTGAGGGCACTGGTGTAGGGTTAGCGGTAAGGATTTGTCTTTATTATTAACTAAATATTAAAAACTTCTTAACTGGTGTAAGGCTAGCGGTCTTTATAATTATTTAATATTGTTATTAAATATTAAAAACTCCTCCTTTGTATAATGTCCACCCTTTTCACCTGGTATCTTTCTTAAATTACCTTACTTTTTTTACGAGTTGGCCTCTACGGGTGGACCCGACATTAAGTTAACTCGCTAACTTGTAACAGTAGGAGGTTTAGTAGTAGTAGTAGGCAGAGTAATTTATCTACGGCATATTATATCTAAAATTATTCTATTGATCACTTACAGACAACAAAACATCACATAACAACAGAATCGGCAAATAATAAGACGTCCTCTCACTTGTGTTGCTGTGATATACAACACTGCCTTGTTTGTTACTCAACAGGCTGCCACCACACGTTCAAGATAACCAACTGTTCTTATTTGAAGAGTTTATGTAGCTGTTGGAGATGTGTTTATGTATTGGGAGATGGGGTTTTATTAGATTTGAAATATTAGGTGTTTTGGAGGTATTGGGGGGTGTTCTAAATATATTGAAGATTTTAGAGGAGTAGAATTTGTTGGACCTTTAGGAAGTAATGGAAGTTTTGGAGGCGTTGGAAGTCTTTTGAGATTTTAGAAGAGTTGGATGTTTTGGAGGTAGGGGGTCTTGGAGATGGTGGAAGTGGTGCGAGTTTTGGAGGTGGTGTTGATGATGGTGGAGGCTTTGGAGGTCCTGTCTTGGAGGTTTTGAAGGTGCTGGGAGTATTGGAGGCTTAAGCAGTACTTAAATGTTACACAACAGGACTTTTAACACAACACTGGGCAGGAAGGAGGAAGGGAGATAGGAGGAGGGAGGAAAGGAGATAGGGAGGAGGGAGTGAAAGGATATAGAGGGAGGGAAAGGAGATAGAGGAGGGAGAAAGGAGATAGAGAGGGAGGAGGAAAGGGGAGATATGGAGGAAAATGAAAGGGGATAGAGAGGAGGGAAAGGAGAAGGAGGAGGGAGAAATGGAGATAGAGAGGAAGGAGGAAAGGAGAAAGGGAGGGAGGAGGAAAAGGGAGATAGGGAAGGAGGGAGAAAGGGAGATAGGAGGAGGGAGGAAGGGAGATAGAGAGGGAGAGAAAGGGAGATAGAGAGGGAGGAAATGAAAGGGTAGGAGAGAGGGAGGGAGGGAAAGGGAGATAGAGAGGAGGGAATGAAAGGGAGATAGAGAGGGAGGGAGGAAGGAGATAGAGGGGAGGGAGTGAAAGGGAGATAGAGAGGAGGGAATGAAAGGAGATAGAGAGGGAGGAGGAAAGGAGATAGGGAGGAGGGAGGAGAAAAGGGAGAATAGAGGGAGGAATGAAAGGAGAGAGAGAGAGGGAGGAGGAAAGGAGATAGAGGAGGGAAGGAAAGGAGATAGAGAGGAGGAGAAAGGAGATAGAAGGGAGGAGGAAAGGGAGATAGAGAGAGGGGAGGAAAGGGAGATATGGAAGGGAATGAAAGGGAGATAGAGAGGGAGGAGTGAAAGGGGATAGAGAGGAGGGAGGAAAGGAGATAGAGAGGGAGGGAGTGAAAGGAGATAGGAGAGAGAGGGAGGAAAGGGAGAGAGAGGGAGGGAGGAAAGGGAGATAGGGGAGGAGGGGAATGAAAGGGAGAGGAGAGGAGGAGAAAGGAGAATGGAGGAAGGAATGAAAGGGAGATAGAGAGGGAGGGAGGAAAGGAGATAGGAGGGAGGAAGAAAGGAGATAAGGGAAAGAAAGGGAGAAGAGAGGGAGGGAGGAAAGGGAGAGAGAGGAGGAGGAAGGGAGATAGAGAGGGAGGGAGGAAAGGGAGATAGAGAGGGAGGGAGGAAAGGGAGATAGGGAGGGGAGGGAGTGAAAGGAGGGAGGGAGGGGAGGAAAGGAGGGGAGGAAGTGAAAGGGAGATAGGGGAGGGAGGGAGGAAGGGAGATAGAGAGGGAGGAGGAAAGGGAGATAGAGGAGGAGGGAATGAAAGGAGATAGGGAGAGGGAGGGGAAGGAAAGGGAGATAGGAGGGGAGGGGAGGGAGGAAAGGGAGATAGGAGGGAGGGAATGAAAGGGAGATAGAGAGGAGGGAGTGAAAGGAGATAGAGGAGGGGAGGAAAGGGAGATAGAGAGGGAGGGAGGAAAGGGAGATAGGAGAGGAGGGAATGAAAGGGAGATAGGGGAGGGAGGGAGTGAAAGGGAGATAGGGAGGAGGAATGAAAGGGAGATATGGAGGAAGGGAATGAAAGGAGATAGGAGGGAGGGAGGAAAGGGAGATAGGAGGGAGGGGAGGAAAGGAGATAGGGAGGGAGGAGAAAGGGAGATAGGGAGGAGGGAGGAAAAGGGAGATAGGGAGGAGGGAGGAAAGGAGAGGGGAGGAGGGGAGAAAGGAGATAGGGAGAGGGAGGGAGGAAAGGGAGATAGGAGGGAGGGGAGGGAAGGGAGATAGGAGGGGAGGGAGTAAAGGGAGATAGGGAGGGAGGGAGGAAGGAGATAGGGAGGGAGGGAGGAAAGGGGAGAGGGAGGGGAGGAGAAAGGGAGATAGGGAGGAGGGAGTGAAAGGGAGATAGGGAGGGAGGAGAAAGGGAGATAGGGAGGGAGGGGAGTGAAAGGGAGATAGGGAGGGAGGAATAAAAGGAGATAGGGAGGGAGGGAGTGAAAGGGAGATAGGGAGGAGGGAGGAAAGGGAGATAGGGAGGGAGGGAGGAAAGGGAGATAGGGAGGAGGGGAGGAAAAGGGAGATAGGGAGGGAGGGAGGAAAGGAGATAGAGAGGAGGGAGGAAAGGAGATAGGGAGGAGGGAGGAAAGGGAGATAGGAGGAGGGAGTGAAAGGGAGATAGGGAGAGGGAGGGAGGAAAGGAGATAGGAGAGGGAGGGAGGAAAGGGAGATAAGGGAGGAGGGAGGAAAGGGAGATAGGGGAGGGAGGGAGGAAAGGGAGATAGGGAGGGAGGGAGTGAAAGGAGATAGGGAGGGGAGGGAGGAAAGGAGATAGGGAGGGAGGAGGAAAGGGGAGATAGGGAGGGAGGGGAGGAAGGGAGATAGGGAGGAGGGAGGAAAGGGAGAATAGGGAGGAGGGAGGAAGGGAGAGAGAGGGAGGGAGTGAAAGGGAGAAGGGAGGGAGGGAGGAAAGGGGAGATAGGGAGGAGGGAGGAAAGGGAGATAGGGAGGGAGGGAGTGAAAGGAGATAGGGAGGGGAGGGAGGAAAGGGAGATAGGGGGAGGAGGGAGGAAAGGGAGATAGGAGGGAGGGAGTGAAAGGGAGATAGAGAGGAGGGAGGAAAGGAGATAGGGAGGAGGGAGGAAAGGGAGATAGGGAGGAGGGAGGAAAGGGAGATAGGGGAGGGGAGGGAGAAAGGGAGATAGGGGAGGAGGGAGGAAAGGAGATAGAGAGGAGGGAGGAAGGGGAGATAGAGAGGAGGGAGGAAAGGAGATAGGGAGGGAGGGAGTGAAAGGGAGATAGGGAGGGAGGGAGGAAAGGGAGATAGGGAGGAGGAGGAAAGGAGATAGGAGAGGAGGGAGGGAAAGGGAGATAGAGAGGGAGGAATGAAAGGGAGATAGGGGAGGAGGAGGGAGTGAAAGGGAGATAGGGGAGGGAGGGAGGGAGGAAGGGAGATAGAGAGGGAGGGAGGAAAGGGAGATAGGGAGGGAGGGAGGATGAAAGGGAGATATGGAGGGAGGGAATGAAAAGGAGATAGAGAGGGAGGGAGGAAAGGAGATAGGGAGGGAGGGAGGGAGGGAGGGAAGGGGAGATATGGAGGAAGGGAATGAAAGGGAGATAGGAGGAGGGAGTGAAAGGGAGATAGGGAGGGAGGGATGAAAGGGAGATAGAGAGGGAGGGAGTGAAAGGGAGATAGGGAGGAGGGAGAAAGGAGAGGGGAGGAGGGGAGGAAAGGAGATAGAGAGGAGGGAGAAAGGGAGATATGGAGGAAGGGAATGAAAGGGAGATAGGGAGGAGGGAGGAAAGGGAGATAGGGAGGGAGGGAGGAAAGGGAGATAGGGAGGAGGGAGGAAAGGGAGATATGGAGGAAGGGAATGAAAGGGAGATAGAGAGGAGGGAGGAAAGGGAGGATAGAGAGAGAGGGAGAGTAAAGGGGAGATAGAGAGGAGGGAGGAAAGGAGATAGGGAGGGAGGGAGGAAGGGAGATATGGAGGAAGGGAATGAAAGGGAGATAGGGGAGGGAGGGGAGGAAGGGAGATAGGGAGGGAGGAGTGAAAGGGAGATAGAGAGGGAGGGAGGAAAGGGAGATAGAGAGGGAGGGGAGGAAAGGGAGATAGAGAGGGAGGGAGTGAAAGGGAGATAGGGAGGGAGGGAGTGAAAGGGAGATAGGGAGGGAGTTAGTGTGTGTAAAGGAGTAAGTGGGGAGGAGGATGAGAGAGAAAGGGAGGAAGAGATACGGAGGGAGGGAAGGAGGGTCGTCATCTGTGATCACAACTCACACAAATACTTTAACTTTCACTTAACACAGTGGTGTCATCAACTCACAAGACGCTCACAAACACTGTCACTCACAAGACGCTCACAAACACTGTCACTCACAAGACACTCACAAACACTGTCACTCATAAGACGCTCACAAACACTGTCACTCACAAGACGTTCACAAACACTGTCACTCACAAGACACTCACCAGCACTGTCACTCGCGAGACACCCGCCAACGCTGCCACTCGCGAGACACCCGCCAACGCTGCCACTCGCGAGACACCCGCCAACGCTGCCACTCGCGAGACACCCGCCAGCACTCCCACTCGCGAGACACCCGCCAGCACTGCCACTGGCAGACACCCGCCAGCACTGCCACTCCGCGAGACACCTGCCAACGCTGCCACTCGCGAGACACCTGCCAGCGCTGCCACTGCGAGACACCCGCCAGCGCTGCCACTGCGAGACACCCGCCAGCGCTGCCACTGCGAGACACCCGCCAGCACTGCCACTCGCGAGACACCCGCCAGCACTGTCACTGCGAGACACCCGCCAACGCTGCCACTCGCGAGACACCCCCAACGCTGCTGCAATCATGAGACACCCGCCAGCACTGCCACTGCGAGACACCCGCCAGCACTGCCACTGCGAGACACCTGCCAGCACTGCCACTCGCGACACCCGCTGAAGTCACTCAAGTATACTGTAGAGAATAATGCATTCAAATTTGCACATACACACTTGACTGACTTAACTGTCGGGCTGACATGACTGTTTCCTTTCTTCTTCAAATTAATCTCATTCTCCTTCCTCTCTCCGTTCCTCTTAAGCTTTTCTACAATCACAGCCTAGTACTGCTCTCTCTCTCTCTCTCTCTCAAAATGTTTATCAATGATCTCCTTTTCGTTCACTGTCACTCCTTTTCACTCGTACTAGACAACAACAACAATAATCATAATAATAAAAATAATAATAATAATAATAATAATAATAATAATAATAATATATCTAGATTGTTTCACGTCTTTAATGCCCAATTTGTTATAACCATAACCTACTCAGCTTCCCTCAAGTCAATGCTCCTCTATTTCCTTCAATGTTCTAATTGTCCAAGCTGCTAACATATCACGTTGCTTGAATCGACTTACTGCTCACCATGTTCAGCAAAGGTGAACTTGTATGAAGATTTTACTGAATGAATATCTATCTATCTGTCTATCTAATCTATCTAATCTACCTATCTTTCTACCTACAGTTTATCAACTTTTCATCTTAGCGACCAAGTGACAGAATGAATTTGTCAGTCATCCAGTTAGAATTATCATTTACAGCTGATTGACGCAACAAAAACAGAAAAACGATGAGATACCATTTTTTTCCATGTAATTTCTGATGGACATTGGTAATGAACGTCAAAATTTTAATTATATTTCTTAATCATATTTTTTTCGGGTCACCTGAAGGTTAGCCCCTCTCTCCCAGCTTATTTCAACTAATTAAACGCCTAAGCAGTTTGGTTAGGTGGGTTGTGATGTGTTTGCATTGTTGTGTTAGGTTAGGGAGGTTAATTTTAGGTAATAAGCATAGAGACTAATCTTCAGGCGATCCCGGTTTTCTAAGTAGGAATTATTGACACTTAAAGCATGAATATTACTGCAGCATTTGAGATCTTCTCTTCATATTGGCGTGAATATTATTGCAAAAGAAAAATCAGATATGAAAAGACGTGCAACACATCTACAATTAGATTCATGTGAACATTTTAAGTAAACAAGAACATTGAAGCCGAAGTTGAAATGGGCGGAGTCATTTAAGTAGAGCAGGGTCGACTCTTAAGATGGCATGAAACAGGAAGAGGCCGAGGAGACCGGGCTGGGTGTGGGGGCAGTCGAGTGGGGTAGGGTGGGTCTGGGCGTACAGAGGTCGGGTGGGAAATGTGGGCTGGGCGTGTAATTGAATATTGTTGAGGTCGGGTAGGGTGGGACTGGGCGTGCAGAGATCGGGTAGGTGGGACTGGGCGTGCAGAGGTCAGGTGGGGTGTGGGGCTGGGCATACAAGGGTCGGGTGGGGTAGTGTGGGGCTGGGCTTAGGAGTGATCTGCAAAATGAGGTCCATATCAAATCTACCCCCTTAGTTGATTGTCCAGCTGTACCAGGGCCTCCAACTACCTTACGTGTCCATCTTCTTTTTGCCCGAGTCTGGGGTAACTCTGGTCAGGGAGTCAGGGGTGTCTTAAGGCAGGTGAGATGAGGCTGGTGCCTTAAAGGCAGGGAGTGAGGGCCGATACATTCACACACTAATTAGAATATCATTGTTCTTCCGGAAGCAGTAACTAAGGAAGAGGAAGTGTGCACGCCACATGTCTGAGACGTGGCACCAGTGGTTCAATCCGTCCCCACTCACCTGCTGATACGTACCTGGCCTTGAGTGAAGTGAGGCGCCCTATTTCCCACCACCCCTCCCCACCATCCTCCCCTGTCTACCACCCCTCCTCCCCACCATCCTTCTGTCTGCCACCCCTCCTCCCCATGATCCTTCCTGTCTCCACCCTCCTACCCACCATCCTTCCTGTCTACCACTCCTTCTCCCCACCATCCTTCTTGTCTGCCACCTCCTCCCCCCATCGTTCGTTCTACCACCCTCCTCCCCACCATCCTTCTTGTCTACCACCCCTCCCTCCCCCCCATCCTTCTTGTCTCCCTCCTCCTCCCTGTCCTTCTTGTCTACCACCCCTCCTCCCCCCCATCCTTCTTGTCTACCACCCCTCCCATCCTGTAACACCCCCCCACCACCCTCTGTCTCCACCCTCCTCCCCAGATCTCTTGTCTACCACCTCTCCTCCCCCACCATCCTTCCTGTCTACCACCCCTCCTTCTCCCCCACCATCTTCTTGTCTACCACCCCTCCTCCCCTATCCTTCTTGTCTACCACCCTCCTCCCCACTATCCTTCTTGTCTACCACCTCCTCCCCATCCTTCTTGTCTACCACTCCTCCTCCCCACCATCCTTCTTGTCTACCCCTCCCTCTGCATCCTTCTTGTCTACCACCCCTCTCCCCTGTCTCTCACCACCCTCCTCCCTATTCCTTCTTATCCCACATCCCTTCTCCCCACCATCCTTCTTGTCCCCTCCTCCCCAATCTGCCACCCCTCCTTCTCCCCACCATCCCTTCTTGTCTACCACCCTCCTCCCCACCATCCTTCTTGTCTCCCACCCCTCCTTCCCCCCTCATCCTTCTTGTCTACCACCCCTCCTCTCCCCACCATCCTTCCTGTCTACCCCTCCTCCCCACCATCCTTCTTGTCTACCACCCTCCTCCCCATCCTTCCTGTCTACCACCCTCCTCCCCCTTGTCTTCTTGTCTACCACCTCCCTTCTCCCACCATCCTTCTTGTCTACCACCTCCCTTCTCCTGTCCTTCTTGTCATCCTTCCCCATCTTCTCCTCCCCCTGATCCCTTGTCTACCACTCCTTCTCCACCATCCTTCTTGTCTCCACCCTCCTCCCCATGATCCTTCTTGTCTACCACCCTCCTCCCCATGATCCTTCTTGTCCTACCCTCCTCCTCCCACCATCCTTCTTGTCACCACCCCTCCTTCTCCCCCTGCATCCTTCTTGTCTACCACCCCTCCTTCTCCCCCCATCCTTCTTGTCTACCCCTCCTCCCCCTGATCCTTCCTGTCTACCCCTCCTCCCACCATCCTTCCTGTCTCTACCCTCTTTCTCCCCACATCCTTCTTCTCTACCTCCTCCCCCCATCCTTCTTGTCTACCACCCCTCCCCTTCCCCGTCCTCTGTCTACCCCTTCTCCCCACTGCATCCCTTCTTGTCTTACCACCCCTCCTTTTCCCATCTCTCATTTCCCACCATTCCCATTCCTCCACTCATCCCACCATCCTTCTTGTCTACCACCCTCCTCCTCACCATCCTTCTTGTCTCTACCACTCCTCCCCATCTTTCTTGTCTACTACCTCCTCTGTCCTTCCTGTCTACCACCCTCCTTCTCCCATCCTTCTTGTCACCACCCCTCCTCCCCACCATCCTTCTTGTCTCCACCTCCTTCTCCACCATCCTTCTTGTCACCACCCTCCTTCCCCACCATCCTTCCTGTCTACCTCCTCCCCATGATCCTTCTTGTCTACCACCCCTCCTCCCCATAATCCTTCTTGTCTACCACCCCTCCTCCCATATCCTTCCTGTCTACCTCCTCCCCATATCATTTGTCTACCACCCTCCTTCTCCCCCTTCTGTCTCTCATGCTCTGCACATCATTCCCCTCGTCATTCCTGTCTGCCACCCCTCCTCCCCCACCATCCTTCTTGTCTACCACCCTCCTTCTCCCCACCATCCTTCTTGTCTACCACCCCTCCTCCCATCATCCTTCTTGTCTACCCCTCCTCCCCATGTCCTTCTTGTCTACCACCCCTCCTCCCCCACCATCCTTCTTGTCTACCTCCTCCCCTTGTCCTTCTTGTCTACCACCCTCCCTCCCCCTTGTCCTTCTTGTCTACCACCCCTCCTCCCCCATCCTTCTGTCTACCCCTCCCCTCCCCCGATCCTTCTTGTCTACCACCTCCTCCCCCACCATCCTTCCTGTCTACCCTCCTCCCCCACCATCCTTCCTGTCTACCCCTCCTCCCCGTCACTTCTTGTCTGCCCTCCTCCCCCATCATACTTCTTGTCTGTCCCTCATCATCCCCACCGTCCATTCACCATTGTCTGCCCTCATTCTCCCACCATCATTCTTGTCTGCCCTCCTCACGTCCTTCTGTCTACCACCCTCTTCTCCCCCCACCGTCCTTCTTGTCTTGCCCCTCCTCCCCCTGCATCCTTCTTGTCTACCACCCCCCTCCCCTACATCCTTCTTGTCTACCACCCCCTTCCCCACCATCCTTCTTGTCTGCTTACCTCCTCCCCTTGTCCTTCTTGTCTGCCACCCCTCCTCCCACATCCTTCTTGTCTCACCCCTCCCTCCCCACATCCTTCTTGTCTACCACCCCCCCTCCTCCCCATAGTCCTTCATCTGCTTGCCTCCTCCTCCCCTGCATCCTTCACCACCCTCCTTCTCCCCCCTGCATCATTCTTGTCTACCACTCCTCCCATGATCTTCCTTGTCTGCCTCTCCCTCATCATGTCTGCCCCATCTTCTCCCCACCGTCATTTCCTTGTCTTGCCCTCCTTCTCCCCACCATCCTTCTTGTCTCACCCCTCCTCCCCATGATCTTTCTTGTCTACCCCTCCTCCCCGTCCTTCTTGTCTGCACCCCTCCTCCCCCACCATCCTTCCTGTCTACCACTCCCTTCTCCCCACCATCCTTCTTGTCTACCACCCCTCCTCCCCACCATCTTCTTGTCTACCCCTCTCCCCCATGTCCTTCTTGTCTACCACCCCTCCTCCCCCCCTTGTCCTTCTTGTCTGCCCTCCTCCTCCCTGTCCTTCTTGTCTCACCCCTCCTCCCCCCTCACCCTTCTTGTCTGCCACCTCCCCTCCCCGTCATTCTTGTCTGCCCACTCATCACCGTCATTCGTCATCTCTCCTGCCCACTCATTCTCCCGTCATTCTTGTCTCCACCACTCACTCCCCATATCTTCTTGTCTGCCACCTCTCCTCCCCCACCATCCTTCCTGTCTACCACCCCTCCTTCTCCCCACACCATCCTTGTCTACCACCCCCTCCTCCCCTTG